TGGATAGCGACTGGCTCTTCCTTCTATGTCCGTCCCCCCAAGTTCCATGCAAGTTTCTTGACAGCACTTCTCCTCTGCTCTCAGTTCCCTATCCAGTCTCAGTGACGATCATAAGAGCTTACGTTTTGTGTCTCTGTGTGTGTGTTTTCTAAAGTAACTTCACATACATTATCCCATGGAGGTAAATTTACATCATCAGTATAAGTTGCAACTTGGTCCTGGGAAGCCTCTGGAAACCTTGACGTTTTAGGGGCTGTCTAATGATGCCTTTGTTGTTGTTCTTTTGCACAGATCCGGTCCTGCAGGTCCCAACACATGTGGAAGAGTAAGTTTTCTAATTTGCTCAGTACTTCCCTTAATTCATAGTCTTATTCAATCAATATTTATGAGGCTAGTTGCTGGGAGTATATATGTATGCATAAATTTAAGGCATAACAAGAAAGAGTGAGACATATGAAGTCTTACAGGTGCTATGATGGGTGCATAATAGGCAATGGTATTAAAAAGACTTGAGGTGGAACTTGAGTTTTGAACTTAAACTTCCAAAGTCCTCAGGAGGACTAGAAGAGGACCTCTCCCTCTTTGATGTGTCATACCACGGAGAGAAAAGGTGAACGTGACCTGCTACTAGAGAGTGTGTGTTGGAGTAGATGTTGGACAGCACCTGTGAGAGCCTCAAATGATGGTGCATCCTAGGCAGAGGAAAGAGTCAACAAGGGGTTTCCAAGTGACCTTAGAGGTAGTTCAGTCTCTAGCAGATTCATGTTACAGAAGACTCCCTCATGTCTGCCTTGCAGGAAGCTGCTGCTGATGGAGGGAACTTGATCTGTCGTCTGCTTGGTGGGGTCTCTCTGATGTCAAGCTGTCAGAGTCCACGTTTATTGCCTCCAGTTAAAAAATAAATGTCTCTTGAAGACTAAAAGGAGATTTGTTCTACCTATTTATATACCTTGCCATTGCTACTAAATTTTATTTTGTTTTTTTAGATAGGGTCTTGCACTGTAGCCCAGGCTGGAGTGCAGTGGCACAATCATAGCTTGCTGTAGCCTCGAATTCTTGGGCTCAGCAATCCTCCTGCCTCAGCCTCTCGAGTAGCCAGGACTACAGGTGCGTGCCACCACGCCTGGCTAATTTTTTTATTTTCTGTAGAGATGGGGTCTCACTATGTTGCTCAGGCTTATGCTATTAAATATTAATCATTGAAGTTCTAGTCACAATTAATGTAGAAATCAAAAAGTAGAATTGC